ATTTTAGGGGAGGGGAAGAGGGGAGGTAGCTTCTAGGAGTCTTTGTTAGGCAGCTGGCGTTCGCCACTTTGTCGTTTTTCTGCTTGGGCAGCTCTGAAGGGTCTGTTTAGCTTTCTCACTTTGAAAGAAATGCCTGGTGAAATGTCCAAACGTTCTGGGGGTAATTAAAGTTACAGTAACCATCTAGTAGCACTAGTGCTGGTATGCAGATAGATTAACTAAGCTGTACCTAACCAAGCACAGATAACAGTGTGTCAGCAAGAAAATGGTAACTATTTGGTAAGAGGGAGAGGAAGGACCTCCTGGAAGGCTGGGCACCTGCAGGTTAAACCTACAAACACATCTTCGCCCTTCCCAAGAAGTCTCGCCAAGAAGTTGGCTTTTGATGTGTGTCTGGAAGAAGGTTGAATCTTTTTGATGGGGTCAAAGGGTCCAAGCTTAGCATATACTATTAGATACTTAAATACTATTGGGAACGAATGAATTACCAATTAGAAGTGGATTAAACGTGAAGTCAGATAAACGGCTGCTTTTTTGTTACTGTGAACGTTCAATCTGTAAGAACTGGGCATTAGATCAGTGCTTCAAATACACATACGAAAGCCATAAAGAAAGCAAAGCCTAGTTGATCTGCCCTGCTGGAACTAAGTCTCTCACCTCCTACATGCGGCTGTAGGCCCTGGCTGTCTAGATCCCGCTTTGAAAAACCTCTTCTGAGGCTTAACGTGGATTCTTTCTTGGTGGAGTGACCCGGCTGGGTATCATTCTGCACGTGAAGAATTTGCGGTTAATGGGGGTGAGCTTCAGCCCGTGCAGCGCTCTCACTTCTGGTATTTCTAGGATATGTACCGCTGGTAGTAGTGCCCGTCAGTGAACGCTTTCCTCCGGAGGTTTAGGCTGGCGTGACGTGCGATTAGTTCTGCAGCTGCGTGGTGACTTCTTAGCAGTGGGATAAGATTGCTCCCCATCTTTTACAGAAGATGTCAGAGCTCAGTTACAGAATAATATCCTTCTTCATCTTGCCTTTTTCTTAACTGTATTTCACAAGAGATTTTTCGTGCAGATTAGGCAGTGTCTAATAAAAAAATTGGGAAGATAACCTACTTCCATTAGTTAATTTATGTGGAGTTCTCTGTGCTGAAGTGTTAGACCTGGTGGTGCTGACAAACAGCAAACCTCCTGCTGGCTGCCCTAAAAATGAACCTTGGAAGGTTGTTCGTACCTCTGAATCATTTTCTTTTCCTGGTGAAGCGGAGATTTGTGTGGAGAAGAATTCCTGACTATTCAGACCTAGGAATTCTCCCTGCTGCATACATGAGAGAGAAATTAGGTTCTGTTTGAGACTCTTGCCGGTCTAAACCAAGCTTCTGATGCCATTGATAACTTGATTTTTTTTAAAAAAAAACAACTTTTGGTTTCTCAGCAATACTCACAAGTTAGAGCTACATTTCAGTCCTTGCTAAGAAGTTAAAAGTTACTTATGTAGAGAGATTTAATTCTGGGTTCGTATTTACAGTGGTCCTTAACAAGTCTTGCATTTAATTTCATTATGATAAGTAGACTAAATAGAGGAAGTAAGGGTCGGAAAGTGGGTGCTGGCTGATAACCTGAACCGTCTTACAGGAAACTCAGAATAACCACTTATTTGTGCAAACGGAGCAAGTTCTAGTTGCAGAGAGCTGTGTGTTTATTTGAAGACAATGCGTTCAAACCTAACGCTCTTCTCTCCTGATGTATTATCATTGTAAAATTTAAGGCTGTTTTGTTTCATACTTGGCTGTGCTAGTTTTGGCACTTAAACTTGGGCTTCTAACTTTACGTTCTCAAATAGAGAGCTGTGGCCCTACAGTAGGCTTTTTTGTTTGTTAATTGGCTGGTAAGTCTGACTTTTGTGTTGTATTAACTTTTCGGAGTTTAGTCCAAAAGAGATTCTTCCTCCAAAACCTGTGAAGAAAGATAGAGAGCAGAGACCACGACACTTACTCACGGACCTCCCGCTCCCTCCAGAGCTCCCTGGAGGGGATCCATCTCCTCCTGACTCCCCGGAACCAAAGGCAGCCACACCACCTCAGCAACCGTTCAAAAAGAGACCAAAGTAAGGCTGGCTTTCTTTTTTTCAGCTTTTTTCAGTTGTTAGGTTTTCTGTTTCTTCACACAGATGTCAGTCTAGGTTTCCAAAGCTTTAAGTCTGAGTGTATACTGCAGCACTCCTAGGAGAGCTGACTGCATGCCCTATGCTCCGTGTGGAGACGGCGCTGTTGAAAGTGCAGTCACTTTTGAAATTGAATCTGCAGCTGCTTTGCCAGCTCTCAGCAGCCTCCCCACCATTTATTGGATGGGGAGAACACTTAATGTGCACTTAGTTATAAATCTTTAGCCAGATTTAGTTCAGTCTTATAAATTCTTTTGTCCCCAGACTCATTTGAGTACTCTCTTTATTGAGGGAAGGGAAATGTGGAGAAAACGAGTTCACATTTCTGTTTTTTCCTATGGTATATATTAACTGTTTCCTGTGGGTTGTTTCATATTTGGGCCACTCGCAGCTGACGGCCACTTGCCCCGTCTGTTTGAGAATTAACAGTACAGCAGTTTGGGAAGAAGAGGAGGTTGTGTAAATTGTGCACCAAATGGAGACTACGGTTCAGGCGTCGTACTGAAGCTGTGACGGGTTCTGTTGTCTTCCCCTTTGACCCTTTCAATGGTAGAAATTGCTGGAGTGTGTCATAGTCAATCTCCAGCCACATCTACCCTGCAGGCGCTCTCATCTTTCGATTTAGCCTGTAGCCTGCAGGCCAAAGAAACCTCCTGATGAGTATCCCCGTATAAAGCTTGTGGTGCTTCTAGGAATTGGTTATTCTGAACAGGAGACATACACCTTTTCTTCGTCCACGATTGGAGTATTAGTCATGCCGCATGGTATATACAACTTCCCCTGCTAACAAAATTTACACAGTTGTCAAGGAAGTAAGCTCCCTTGGCGTTTTGTGCACACAGTGCTAGCTGCACTTCGTTTTAAATAAAAATCAAATGTCCAGTGTTTCTGCAAAAGATTCCAAACACTGATTTTTGTCCTACTGTAGCATAATTCTTTGGTATTTTTTAGATAAAGATACTGGTTTGGTTCTCCTTCAAGCTACTCTCAGTTAAAAGTATGTAATGAGATCTTTGTAGAAATCTGTGTAGCTAACTGTGTGCCGCAGGTAGGCTATAGCGAAGTGGTTCTGCTACCTCAAAGTCTGTGGAATTGAGGTGGCGTAATAGCTATTTTGCTTGTCTCCCCCACTCTTTGCACTCCTTATTTCCCCGGGAGGAACAATGTATTGCTTGTTAGCGGTATGCAGCTGATAAATGCATAACTGAAGTGAAAAGATCTGATAGTGAGAGTGTGCTGGCGGGCGCGCTTTAGTATCTGAATGAAACAGGACAGTGTTCCTGTACAGCAGTGCCTGTTACCTAGAGTAGCTGAGATTATATAGCGTAATTCATTAAGCTCTACTGAACGCTCAGTTGCTAGGAGTGTAAAGACAGGGTGCCTGACCCTTGCTTTTTGTTTTTAGGGTATAGCCTAAAACAGTCGAATGGGCAGTTGTTTGTGGGGTGGCGGTGCGGTGGAGCACTCGGGTGTCTAACAGTCCTCTTCCCTCTTTCAGAATCTGTTGTCCTCGGTATGGGGAAAGGAGACAGACGGAAAGCGACTGGGGGAAGCGTTGCGTGGACAAGTTTGATATCATTGGGATTATTGGAGAAGGGACATATGGGCAGGTGTACAAAGCCAAGGACAAGGATACAGGTAAGGATGCCAAGCGGCTTCAGTTTGACTCCACTTCTTTAAGGCCTGGCGTTGTGATTTAACCCCAGGCGGCAACTAAGCACCGCACAGCCGCTCGCTCACTCACCCCTGTGGGATGGGGGAGAGAATCAGAAGAGTAAAAATGAGAAAACTCATGGGTTGAGATAAAGACAGTTTAATAGGGAAAGCAAAAGCCGCATGTGCAAGCAAAGCAAACCAAGGAATTCATTGACTCCTTCCCATCGGTTTCGCCTAACGGTGACTTGGGAAGACAAACGCCATCACTCCGAACATCCCCCCCTTCCTTCTTCTTCCCCCAGCTTTCTATGCTGAGCATGACATCATACGGTGTGGGATATCCCTTGCATCAGTTGGGGTCAGCTGTCCCAGCCGTGTCCCCTCCCAGCTTCTTGTGCCCCCCCAGCCTGCTCGCTGGTGGGGTGAGGAGCAGAAAAGGCCCTGACTGTCTGTAAGCACTGCTCAGCAGTAACTAAAACATCCCTGTGTTATCAGCACTGTTTTCAGCACAAATCCCAAACGTAGCCCCACACTAGCTACTATGAAGAAAACTAACTCTATCCCAGCCAAAACCAGCGCACCTTGTTACTGTGGGTGTGCTTCAAACCCATTCCAGCATTAGCGGTGTTGCCAGTTAATGACAAATACCTGTAGAACTAGAAACGGCTCCAGCCCTGGAATAAGCGTTTACACCAGATGTTTTCAAAACGGGCAAAAGAAGAGAAGCTCTGAAATCCTGGTAACTGTGAGTTAGTGCCCAGCTGCCCTCTCTGCTTGTGAAATCGTGTGCCCCGTGTGTACAATTTGACACACGGTCAGATGGTCGTGGTAGGTATAGCTATGGCAGCCATAGGTGCCAACTGAACCCCTGCTTTTTAAATGTGCCTTTGTCAGACTTCATTGTAGCAGAGCTTGTGAAAAGGACTGGAGTGGTTTCCAGGGCAAATTTAAGCTCACCTGTGTGACTTTGCCCTGAAGCAGATTAGGAGGAGCGCTGGTGTCATCTGTCTTGAGCTGTTGTTGTGATAACTTCTGACAGAGCAATGTAACAAAAATTAGTAGGGTGGTAACTAAAGCTGGCTCTGTTTCTTGGTGGATGTTGGCTGTGCTCATAGCTACTTTCAACTCCCCCCTGGAAACCCACAGGGTTGTTAGCAGCGATGCGTGCAGAGGCTTTGACGCTGGCTTGTTCTGGCAGGTGAATTGGTGGCTCTCAAGAAGGTGCGACTGGACAATGAAAAGGAAGGCTTCCCCATCACGGCCATCCGTGAGATCAAAATCCTTCGGCAGCTGATCCACCGCAGTGTTGTTAACATGAAGGAAATTGTCACGGACAAACAAGATGCACTGGATTTCAAGAAGGACAAAGGTAGTATTTGCTGCAGGGTGTGGTTTTGAATTGGCCAAAGAGGTGATGCAACTCCATTTGTTTATTCTTAGTGTAAAACTAAAAATCTAAACTCTGGTGTAGATTTTCTTTTTTGCATTCCTCCTTGATCCATAGTTCCAGCAAGTTTGGCATCTGGATTTGGCCTTACATCAAAGGATGGATTCCAGTTAAGATGAGTTGTCGCACTGCAGAGCAGAGGTAGACACGGGCTTGAAAGGATGCATTGCATTCGTGTAGAGTCACTAAAGAGCAGTCTTAAAGAAAGAAGAAAGAAAAAAAAAAAAGCCTTTACGGGGTCACTTTTGACACTGATTAGTGGCAACAAACTTACTGATAGGGTGAAAGGTTTTCTGTCTTCTGTCACTGTGGAAGAAGGGTGTTCTGACATCCCACTAGCTTTTGTCTGGGGCCTTCCCTTCCATGAGAGAGAGAAGGGAACAACACAAACATCAGTTCAAGCCATGCATAGCAGTAGTCTCTTCAACAAACTAGCTTGAAAGGAAAAACAAAACGGATAGGTAAACATGACCAGGATTTCGAAGGAATTTATTTTGGGGGCATATTTTGATTTCAGATGTCAGCTTGATGCATTAGAGGGGCTACTTAGTTGTTTGGGTTTTTTCCTCCCCTTGAGGAAAAAATACCTTTTAGGATGCCCAGTAAGCCCTACATATCACAAGACTGCGTTAAAGAAAACGCCAACAGAACGCACTCAACAGTGCACAAAAAAAGAATATGTCAACAATTGAATCTACTTTCGTTCCTCCTTTTTCTTTGTCTCTCCTCTCTTGTCTTAAATCACTTCTCTCTATTATACCAGGTGCCTTTTACCTTGTGTTTGAGTACATGGACCATGACCTAATGGGGCTGCTAGAATCTGGCTTGGTACATTTCTCAGAGGACCATATCAAGTCTTTCATGAAACAGTTAATGGAGGGTCTGGATTATTGTCACAAAAAGAATTTCCTTCATCGAGATATTAAGTGCTCCAACATCTTATTGAACAACAGGTAACCTGGGAGTAGGTACAGTTCTGTCCAAGCTCTTTCCTGCGCTCTCCCTGGGTTCAGCTGAGAGCTCACAGTAGTCTTCGCCTTGAGTATGCTTAGGAACAGGAGGTGTTGATCCACTGTAGGAATACAACCCCGCACGTTTCCACCAGTGGTGTGACGGATGGTTGTAATTAAGCGGTGGCTTTCTTGGGGGCTGCTGCTGGCTGAGAGCGCAGCTCCTGCTGCAAGGGAGAACGACCCTAACAACCTTCTACTTAACTTGCTGTTGGTAGCAGTCTCTCCACGTGAGGCCCTCTGCTCACCGTTTTGCAGCTCCTTACAGTTAACTTTCTTTCACGTTGACTTGAAGTGAATGGGTCTCTGTGTGCACTTGGTCTCCATGGTGTTTTGGCAAAAATACTGTTTATTGGAAGTGCTTGTATGCAGAGAAACCACTGAGGTTTAAGGTAGGAAGTAGCAGTCCTCCATGAATGCCCTCTCTTCTCTAGATAGCAGTGTCTGGCAGTAACGTAGTTCATCACAGAATACATAACAATTACTCGTTTGCTGTTAATTCTCAAGTCTTTATCTGGATACCCATAAGAAAACTTGGAGCCTGTGAGAATAATACTGCGCATAATTGCATCCACATGTCTGGATATCCATCTAAAAAATTTCTCTGGGACATTGGTCTGTTGGGAAGGGTTTGTGATAGAGTCTGAATTATTGCGCTTTTTTTTCCTGTTTCTTTGAAGCATTAAATAGGGTTTGAAAAATTAAGACTGGCATATCCAAAAGTAATTACTGCAAACATTGCTTTGCTAGGCCTTTCTACTACGTGGGGGGGATTTCCTTACCTTTTACTGCTTGCAGCATGTGAGCCCAGCTGTCATTCAAACCAGTGACTGTTTTTTTTTTTTGTCTTTCAGTGGGCAAATCAAACTTGCAGATTTTGGACTCGCCCGACTCTACAGCTCGGAGGAGAGGTGAGGCATAGCGGGGTGGAGGAAGGGGGAAATGGTTTACATAAGAAGAAAGGAGCTCATCCCACCTAATGTCCACATAGTCCCTTCGCTTGGAAGTCCTGGCATTGCCTGAGGAATGATTTCCAGTATGGTGTAAGTGCTATAACGCAGCTCCAGCTGTCAGAAAAAATACACTCCTGGCTGGTATTAATAGCCTTTCGTTAGACAAACCAGCCGATAAGGAACCAAAACATCTTCTCTGCTTGCCATGGACCTGCCATGGACCACGTTTTGCTCTGAGATCAGTTGAGATCAGTCACTATTCAGTCATGGCAGCCTGCCGCTGCCTGTTGGAGGTCAGGATTTTTCAGTCTTGGGTACCTACAACTTACTGTCTCGTGCACTCAGGCAGACTTGTAAAATCTGTGATATCTCATCGGCTTTATTTAACTCAGGCGGGTGCTATGGAAGTCTAGATGCTTGAAAGCCCACTGCTTCTACTTATGTGCCTACCTCTGCAGTTTGGAAGTAATAATTACAGTTTGTAAGGGTTTTGTGGTTCTTGTCATCAGTTTATATTTGTACCTTGCATTCCAGCCGTCCATACACAAATAAAGTCATTACATTATGGTATCGACCTCCAGAATTGCTGCTAGGTGAGGAGCGTTACACACCAGCCATAGATGTGTGGAGCTGTGGGTAAGTGCCGGGTTTGTATCTTTTTGTCCTGTTTGGGCTGTGAACATCAGCACGTGAATAGAATAGTTCTAATGGAAGGTAGTCTTTGATTTGTGCTAATTTCTGAAGCTGTACCTGTTCCAGCTAGGCAAAGTGTGTGGTGATAGTGTAGGAATACTTTCAAAATTCTGTGCTTTGAGGAAATAAGTGTGTGTCGCTTAACTAAAGCTATACCATTTAGTAAAAACTCCTAGAATGAGACTTTTCTTGGTATTGACATGTGAGAGCATAAAAGGTATCTATTCTTGCTATTTAAAAACCAAACCAACCAACCTTCGACAGTGACATACCGCTAGGATCAGAGGGGGTGACAAGCTTACTCTGTGCTGGTCATAGCTTCAGTGTATGGTTTTAATGACCTAATAGAGAGTTTTTCTGTAACCTCTTCAAATTGCTCTGTCACCTGATTTTTTCAGCTAAATCTAGGAAACGTGTTAAAGTAGAGATTTCAGGTTTCTAGTAGTGTAGGGAGCCTCGTGAACAGGAGTCTGGGCAGTTCAGCCACAAAGATGGAACATTTCCCAAGTGATTCAGAACCAGAGACTCGGATTCAGCATTCGGAAGCGGTGCTGGATTTCCCAAAGCGCATACTTCCCGTTGTGATATTCACAGGTAAACTTTCCGCAGAGCTTAGTACACAAACGACAAAGGTTTGTAAAAGTCAGGCCCTGATAAATTACTTCTGGAAACTCCGGCCGTGAGGTCCGGTTGCTGTTCAGCGCCCTGTGCCAAATGTGCGGGGTTAGCCCGGTTCCAGCGGACGGGTGCCTGTATCAGACCACAGCTGTATTTGGCACTGGTTGTCATTCCTGTCAGAATGCTTAAGGGTAGATGTTAAGGACTGAATGAGGCAGAGCTGTCCCTTCCCTCCTTCTCTTCTTTCCCTTCCAGCTCTACAAACGTTGTGCGTACAAGGCGATATCCTGCGCTTGACAATGACAAACAGTACGCTACTGGCAGCTGAGGATAATTTGGGCCAGCAGATATCCCCCAAATTATGACAGTAAAGTTGAAAAGATAAATGGGCTGAATCTGTCATGCTGTTGACACATCCTCCTTTCCCTGCAAGGAGTTAAGGCGTAAAGCCTGTGACGTGTTAACCAGCCTACTAGTGAATGTTATTTCCCAGCTGCGTAGAATCGGTGACTGTGTACACATAGGTTAGTCTGTCAGTTTTCAACTACAAGCCCTGATGCAAATAACTCTCCTCAGGCAAACCTGCTTCTGAACAGAAATGCTGCAGTGTTCAAACGATCATCCCAAGGGTTTGCTGTCGTGACCTCTTGCTTTTCCTCTTTCCAGCTGTATCCTCGGGGAACTGTTTACAAAGAAGCCTATTTTTCAAGCCAATCTGGAACTGGCTCAGCTTGAATTAATCAGGTAAAGCATTGCACATGCATGCCTATGAGAGGAGGTACTGCAGAAACTGCTCATGCACACAGTCTCTGTGTTATAAGAGCCCTCTTTCTCTAACCTGCCTGCAAAATAGGACCAGCAAATGACTGTAACTGCAAATGTGAACAGTTAGGCATTTAGGTGTCCGTGCTTACCATCAAGTGGGTGGCTGCTAATGTATGCACGCTCCGTAAACTTTGCTGTTGTTGGTTGAGTGCAAGAATCATGGTCCTAAACTACATCTTACACTGAAAATTCATTGTGTTTGTATGGTTTATAAACTCAAGGTGAGCATTTTTCCTCTTCTGATACCTCCTTTTTAACCTGAGGGTTATCTAGTCTTCATTGAAGTGTGCCCAGACCTAGGTTACTGGTACAGTAAGTTGCTTAGAAAGGAGACGTTTTCACTCGGGTTGGTGACTCTTCTCCTCCTAGCTGCATTCCACCTGCTGATTGTACTCTGCTTTTCTGGTTTTCAGCCGGCTCTGTGGGAGCCCCTGTCCAGCGGTGTGGCCAGATGTCATCAAGTTGCCCTACTTCAACACTATGAAACCGAAGAAGCAATACCGAAGGCGCCTGCGTGAGGAGTTCTCCTTGTGAGTTTTGTTAGAAAAGAGGATAAGTGGCTGTGTGGGGGTTATGGCCTTCTGTTATGTTGTGCGACTCATCTGCTATCCTTTGGCTCCAGTCTACCTGGCAGGATAAAGCAGTGCTTCCCCTTCTTGCCTTCTGCCATCGGGCAGCCCTCCCCAGGAGGGCTTCTCCCATCTGGGGAAGTCTGGAATGGGGTCACTGTCCCCTTTCTAAAGATCTGCCACAGGTGCCTGCCAGAGGGGTTCCCTGCCTCTGCACGCTTGTGACACTTCTAGCTAGGGTCTGCACTGGAAAGCACGCTTGACAGCGTGGCATTCTCACAGTGCTGAGGCTGTCTGACTTCAGAGACATGCCCTCGGGGGGGAGAGTATAATTGTGTGATAATCTTGTGGGATTTGCAGCAGAGTTGCTCTTCATAAATGGCAAAAACTAGACTGAAAATATTGCATATCTGATGCCTGTTCTGTTGATGTCTTTGAGCTGCTGCGTCACGTAGTAATAAAACTTGACTGCGTGGATTTCTCCTAGGCCTGAGGTGTCTCTCTGAAAGCGGGCTTCTCCCCCTGTTCAGAACGACCCCGTAACTCAGCCATATTTCCAACTCTTTGCGCAGCATTCCTTCGTCTGCTCTCGACCTGCTGGACCACATGCTGACGCTAGACCCTGGCAAGCGCTGCACAGCAGAACAGGCCCTGCAGAGTGACTTCCTTAAGGATGTTGACCTCAGCAAAATGGCACCTCCAGAGTAAGTTCCAGCTGGCATCCTCCACCGCAGTGGGCTCTCTGCTAATGAGCTTTGGGAAGGAGCCGCTGGCTTGGCCTTGGGGGTTTTTTTTTTCAGTCAGAATTAAGTTACGATTTCTGGGTTCTTGACTCTGCCCTTGCATTTTGGCATGTGGCTGAGCAAATAGCTCCTCCTGTGCTGTCGGTTTTCTGCCTGACAACTGGCTGGTTTTATAAAGCTCAGCTTAATGCTTGTAAGGTGCTCTAAAACTCTGTTGGAAGATATGTAAGAGCAGCCTGTAGCATATCCCTGTCCTCCGTGCCATGGAGGACTGGCCAGGCCTCGTTTATGCTGCTTCTTAATTGACTAGAAGAGTGGCTGTTGAGCAGTGTCACACCGCAGCTCTTTTCTCCCACTCCAGTCAAGCAGATTATAAAACTCTGCTCTAGCTGCTTTGTGTGCAAGTATGGCAGTAGCTTTTGAGATCCTGTTTCCTTCGGAGTTACTAAAGGCAGCTGCTTTCTTAAAGCCACCAGACTCTCAAAGCTCGGCGGACTTGCACTCACTGGGGCTTGTGTGCATTGTAGCTAACCCAGTCCAGTCAGGGGTGAGATCCCGGTGCAAATTAAATGATCCGCATGCAATTATGCTGCCTTTCCTGGTTCTAGGACTTGCCCCTTCTTGGTTTAATAGTATGGTTGCAGTCAGAGGAACATCTGTGTTTCTCTTATGGCACGAATAACTTTCTGTGGCCTTTGAGGATTAAATGGGTTTGCTTGCCGTGTTTCTTAACTGCTAAGTGTTGTTTTCTTGCAGCCTTCCCCACTGGCAAGATTGCCATGAGCTGTGGAGCAAGAAACGCCGACGGCAGCGGCAAAGCGGGATTGCAGTGGAGGAGCCACCGTTATCAAAAGTTTCTCGGAAAGAAACTACCTCTGTTACAAGCACAGACACTGTCAAAAACAACAGCAGTCCTGTGCACCCACAGCCTGCCCAGCTCAAAACAGAGTCTGGTGCTGGAGATGCAGTAGGTCAGTGCCCAGTCTGGTCTGTAAAAGGCTCCTCCCGATACCTTACCTCTCCGGTCGGGATGTGGGAGGCTTATGTCTATTTTCAAGCCAGAATGGTTCTTTTACCTCTGTTTCTACAGAAAGGGCATTCCAGACTCTTCCTATCCTGATTTTTTTTTTTCTCCTTTTTTTTTCCTCTGCTGTGAAAACTATTGGCTGCAGAGCATTCTGGCTGGTCTTCAGAAGTCACTCACTGATGAGCCGACTATGAATTTGTTCTATGAGTTATATTATTGGTTCTGAAACATGCTTTCACAGAGAATAATGAAAGGAGTCATTGAGTCACTTAAGCCAGCGAAGTAACAGATAATAGGCTGGAAGGTACAGCCATGTAAAGGGTGTGCAAATGAGCTGAAGTTTGATCTCGTTGATCAAATTATATAAAGATTAGGCATGGGATGTAACAGGCTAGCGGCTGGTGGGCAAAAGTGTACGTTACTGCACTTTGCTTGTTGCAGAAAAGATCACTTGGTTATAAAGACTTGCAGGACCAGGACTTGTGCACTGTTTCCAAAACTGACCAATCTTCCTGCGTCTAGAAAATAGTCGGAGGGGAGGTATTTTCATTCCTGGGAACGTAGAGATATACAAAGCTGCCCAGACCATGCTGATTGTTCTGTAGAAGCCAGATATGGGCTAAAGCTTCCTTTGTGTCAAATGGTGTACTGACAAGTAACAAGGAAGACAGTTCTTGCTCCAGGGAATGCACAATCCATGTGTTCAATGAAACATGGCAGATGGACAAAAGGTGGTGGCTGGATTAGCAAACAGCTGAGAAAAGCGAGTGTCGTGTTCTTAGTTGCCTACCAGCAAGAGGAGCTTAATTTTAAGCTTCTAAAACCAAACCTTTGCACCCTTCTTCCCAAAAAGTTTGACTTACAAAGTCAGTGTCAGCGTGAAGGGACACCCTCGTCACTTGTCACTCAGGAGGCTCTGCACCAGCATGGTGCAAAGGGAGGTGATGCCACTCAGGGGTTGTATTTTAGACTAACCTGGATACTTGCAGGTCAGGACAGAGTCCTCTGTGATCCCAGGCCAGCTTTCAGCAAGGAATTGCCTTCTGCTTGACCTAATTTCTTTTGCTGCGTCAGTGGAACACACCCTTCCTCCGTTCCAAACAGCAGCTTAGCTCCATCCCGAGAAACCTGCTCTCCAGTGCAGGAGGGAGTGCTTCCGATCCGCGGAGTGCTGCGGAGACCTTGGGAGGGGCTGAGCTGCTGTCGGACTTGCTGCTCTGATTACCACTGAAGTGGGCTAAGGGTTTCCAATCTTCGTCACGCGTCCTCAGACTTGCTGCCGTAACTGGCGGTGTACTTGGTCACCAGTCTGATTCCTGGGACGCCCTCGGTTAGCTAACCGAGGAACGGGGAGGTTTGGCTCAACTCAGCTGATTTTAAGCGGCAGCCACGTGTGCAGTTATGTTGGTAGGTTTGAGGGGGCAGTGAAGAAGCTTCCCTCCATGGCTAACAGAGCAGTTCCCAGCTGTAGCCTTGGGTGAGTGCAGTGTGTGCGCAGTACCACGGGGTGCTGCTGCAGTGCTGTTCAGAGCTGATCGCAGTCTGGAGGGGGCAAGCTGGTGGTAGAAATCAGTGCAGACTATCCTGGAATCCTCCTCCTGGAGCCTCTGTGCGTTCCCCTGGCCCGGGAACACGGAGAAGAGGTGTTCATTGGTACGTGCAGTGTCGCGATTACAAACCAATGCGATGTAGCTTTGCCTAACCTTCCTGTGATGCTGCTTGTGTTTCCTGCAGGCCTTGGAGAAATCACCCAGCAGCTGAATCAGAGCGAACTAGCTGTTTTACTGAACTTGCTGCAGAGCCAGACTGATCTGAGTGTCCCACAGATGGCCCAGCTGTTGAACGTACACTCTAACCCAGAGATGCAGCAACAGCTGGAGGCTCTCAACCAGTCCATCAACGCTCTGACAGAAGCCACAACTCAGCAGCACGAGTCTCAGACAGCAGCAGCAGAGGAAGCCATAGAAGAGCCACCCGCGGAGGCCCAGCTACCGGAGGAGCAGGCGACTCCAGAAACAGCCAGCGCTCAGGGAGATATGCAGAACGTGCTGGCCGTTCTGCTGAGTCAGCTGATGAAGAGCCAGGAGCCTGTTATAACCCTGGAGGAGAGCAACGGGGAGAAGAGCAGTGAGCAACGGGGGCCAAGGAAAACCCCTACAATGCACCCGGAGGAAAGTACAGGTAAATAATCATGACCATTGCTTGTGCATCTTGGATGCCGTGCACTTGTTTGAACAATTAAAGTATGCCATATGAGTGCCTCTGGTTCAACTGCGGCCAGGAGGAACCGGGACATCTGAGTGTTGTGCCAGGGGGCGGCAGGGGGTGTGGATGGGAGGAGGAAAGGTGCTGGGTGCTAGAATGTGGTCGAGCCTCAGATTTCAAGACCGAGACAGACACTGACCCACTCCCTGCGGTAAGTGCTGGACTGCTCAGGAGGCTTTAACAACTGCAAAAAGCCAAAACACGAAAATACTACTCTGCTTCACATCTCCAAAGCATATAAAATCCATTAGTGCTCCAGTGTGAATGGGTCAGTGAAGATTAAAGGTTTTGTTTTTTCCCAAAAAATGAAAGGGAAACTTGGAGGGTCAGTTCTTCCTTTAATACCCCTAGTAATCAGTTTACACATTCAGGTAGTTTTTTTGCACGGGACATTGGAGCTCTGCAGATTTTCCCATCTTATTGTTTGTCCCAACTCTCTTTTTCACCATTCCCTTCCAGCCCTCTCAAAAAAAAAAAAAAAGAGGGGAAAAAAAGGGGGGGGGGAAGACATGAAGCAAACATGCAGAGATGATTTTAAAGAACGTGAGAACTGAAATACTGGCGAGTGCTGGAAGGGAGGGGTAGTGGTGGTTGTGTACATAGAAACTTGTGCATCCAGCTTCGGTGTGCCTGGTTGTACGTAGAGTTGACTTTTAGGAGTCCTGAAATTCGGTGACTCCTGAAGTCGAGCCAAACGGCTGGTTCTTGTAGAGCAAGTTAAGAGGCATGTTTAAAAGACCTGATTGTATCAGTGAACTCTTGGATTTCCTTTTCAAAGGTGAGTGTAAATGTCTCCATGTCTTTTGTTTCTGTTGATTTTTTGAATTATTAGCAACATCCTGTGACGACCTCACCAAATTCTAGAAGCGCCTCCTGAGTATGTCTCAGACTCTCCAGGGAGCCTCTTTTGGCCCGATACACAACTCCTCTGCAATGTAGCTGAACGTGCTGTGTTCTCGTGCCTTCAACACACCTGCCCACCACAAGCCAGTTGTGATCGTGCTTTTTGCTTTTTTTTTTCTTTTTTGCCCTAGTACTGGAAGATAACTAGGTTATTGTAGAGCAGATTCAATCAAATAACGTTGTTCTCTGTTTATAATTATTTTCAATGATATGCTGTCCCCAAATCAGCTTGGCTTTAAAATTACCTGAAGATTGTTTTCTGGATTTAAATACAACCTAGTTTTAAAGTGGACTGACTGATATGGGTGGAGGGGTGGTCCTGGAAGACTACTGGTTTTCACAATAAAGTTTGACCTTTTTAATAACCAGTTTTGCAAATGATTTGAGGATCTGATTCAAACAAGGTGTTCGTGGCCTCTTATGTCATCGCCAGTAATAACTTTAATCACCGTGTAGCCGATCCTTTTGTCGATGAACGAGATCGAGTCAGTTCAGTTGTGTTGCCCTGCAGGAGTCAGGACTGGTTTTGTGAGCGAAGCCGGCACGCGAGGCACCGGGAGCAGATCGTGTCCTGCGGGAAGCTGCGTCCTCCCCTCTGCAGTGTCACTTCTAGCCGTGGCACTGCCCTAGCAGGGGGAGGGACAGAGCTCTGCTCTCGCCTTTCCCACCGCCTCACCAGGCTGCTTTGTTCTTCCTGCTGCCTCAAAAGCAGTAATACGAATTAGTAAGAGCCTGGCGATGGTGGGGGTGTGTGAAGCTTTTGTTCTTGCTAGGAGGGGTCCTTTAGAAACAGAAATCCTTGTGACTTTAGGT